TCCCCTCAGTAGCACAACGCTGGAGGACCCAAAAATCCCTCCATGTTCAGGATCGGAGATCCTGTGGAGAAAAAAACAGCACATCAGACTAATACTGTGGATACGAATCCTGACTGACGTCTGTCATTACGTATTCTTACCTGTTAAGTCACTTGTGTAATGAGCCCTTTTTCAGGTTCGTGTTTATCATCCAGCTCCTCGTCAGAGTCTGAACACGAAAGGGAAATCGGTCAGCGTTTTTATAGAAACACCACAGAAAATGTAGGATGATAAAAGAACGGTGGAGCCAGGATTTTAACTGCCAACCTTCAGATTAGAAGACGACCCCTCTGAACCGGACGGCTCAGGTATTCATGCCAACTAAATGTATTATCCTTAAAGACATTAATGGCATCTACAACTGCTTAATAGCAGATGATGCCCTTCGCTCTTATTTTGAAAATTCAGCCACTGATAACCAGCCTGACAATTCCCGTCTTGTCAGGTTTCATCATTTTTAAATTTTCTTGTTTATTGACCTGTGTGAAACAACTGAGGCGCGCTTGTCTTAATGCAGGAGGCTGCAGGTTCAAAGCAGCTGCAGGAGGCTGGTGTGAGAATAAACCTTCACTTTTAATTCTTCACATTTTACAGAAACGGGAATTATTTTTGTATTTTGTGTTATCGACTGCAGCTCTGCTTCTGCTCTGGAGAGTGTCTGTGTCTGCAAAGGATGGGCCCACCCATTGTAGGGAAGGCTCACTGCAGAGGCAGCTGAGTAATTGAATTATTTTCTAAGCAATAAGATGTCTGCAGATGAAAAAGCTCCTTTCACTGTGCAGTGAAACAAATACTGAAGGAGCTACGCCACTCATTTCTGGGTGTGAAGTGCAAAGCTGGAAATCTAAAAACTCTAATAATAATAATAATAATAATAATAACATGACAATAAAATGAACTGTATATCTTCATATTTTGTGTCTGTGCGCTCATTTAAATGGGAATGAAGAGTCAGAATCATCAGACTGAGCAGTCTGAAGGAGCGACAGCTGAAGCGAGTGTGTCGGGTGTGTTTGGGTTTGTCTGATGTCAGTGGGAGGAAACAGACCTGCCAAAGACTCTGGCGGAGAGTAGAACTGCCCATCAGATAAAGGACCTGGACCCAGGAGAGGAGCCCTACTTGTATCTATGATGGACTGATGTCCTGAAACACAGAAGGATGAAGGAAGCAGGAATAACTGCATCAGCAGGACATCAATGAGGTTAGAATAACATAACAGTGGTGAAGTAACTTTCATTTATCAGGTGAGTAAACACATTTGCAGATTTTGTTCATAGCATATAATTATTGATAATTACCTGTGAAATAGCAACAGGAAGCTGATGCATTACACTTTTTACTCTAACATTATAATAAATAATTATAATATTAACTTCTTATCCCATGATCATATATTTTAAATAAAACAACTGAATAAAATTACTCAGTATGTAGCTTTGAATGTTCACCAGCAGGTGGCAGTGTTTCACCAGAGCGCCTGCTGCTGCTCTTTATCGTTTTCTTGTTTCTTTTTCATTCTCCACTCAGAGGCTCTTGAGTCATAGTACTTGTTTTTTCACATTCTTTTGCTAACTTACAGGAAGGTTTTAAAAGGAGCCTGTAAGGTAAACGATCTGTTGACAGAGATCACAGCAGTGACAGCAGCAGTACTGCAACAGTAATGAAGGTGCCTTTTTTATTATTAGCTCAATTGAGACTCACTGTTTTCGTCTTCGATCTCCTGAGGCAGGACCTTGAAGTCGAGCAGCCACGTTTCTATCCAGGCCAGAACGAAGGAGATGATGGGCAGCAGGTACCCAAAGGCCCCCTGACTCAGCAGCTACACAAGAAACACACACGTCCCAATATGAATACGTAATTCTACACAAAGCATACAAAATCTGACCATTTAAAATTTAGAAGGTGCAAAAACAAATATTTATTATTGTTAAGCAGCAGCAATTACAGGTTTTCCTGTACAGGAAGTTTGCTTCACTTCCTTAAATCCTCATACATGTTTGCATCGCCATCGGGGAATATGGAGCAAAGACTGCAGAGGAAAATTAACTCCAACAACAAACTGTCCTCTAAGAGGTTTTTGTGTGTGGACATTGACACCAATACTAAAATAAATAAAGATATTATTAGAAGTAAAAAACTAAAGTCAGTGCAACATTTTTGTTACAAACAATGAAAATATTAGATGTTGTCAGGTTTCCTTAGATCAAAGCTTTAAGTACCACCCTGTTTCCTGAGGTGCTGTTAAGGTGTGTGTGTGTGTGTGTGTGTGTGTGCACCCACTAGTGCAGACAGTTAGGAATTGTAAAGCTTTTTCTTACCTTCGACAAAATGACTTTAGCAATCAGGAAAGCACAGCTGACTGCAGTGGTGATCTGCACAAAGACAGAAAACATCAGAAATGCTCATGCTGTTATTTTTGCTAATATTTTAAACAGAACCCCTTTTACCTGAAAACATCCTCATGTTAATGGTCTTTAACTCTCTAAATATACTGAATATAATGAAGTGAAATGGAAAATCACAGAATCAGCCTGTAACAAACACTGATGCCCCCTGATGACATATTTAATGCACAGAAACAAGAATTAGTGCATCCTCCTGCCAGACACTTCACTGTGCACCCAACAATGTGAGCTCTTGCTGGGCAGCGCCCTCTGCTGGCGCAATTACAGAAGCACTGTTGTGGCGTACAGCCTTAAAACCTACCGCGATGGCCCACCAGTGACGAAGCTTGCAGACAGCGTAGGCCAGGATGAGGACGGCAAACCTGAAAACTGCCAGCAGCTGAGGGAGGGGAGGAAGGTGAAGGTGGCACAGAAGGAGGAGGGAAACAAAAAGGAAGGAAAAAATAGTGAAAAAAACCCCACATAAAATAAAAGATATAAAGTTGATCATTTAAAGCAAAAGAAAGAACCTTACAAAGATGTCGAAGAAGGAGGCGTGGTAGTCGTAGTGCAGGACTTCTTGTTCCAGCCGATTCTGAATGCCGCCGTTCACCTGACAAACACAAACAGCTCATCATGACAAATACTCTGAATGTTAAAGTTAACCCTGACACAACTGAGGCTAAAATGACCTGAGTGAGGCAGTTATATTCTTTGTTACTAGAGGAATATTTTTTGTAAGTTTATTCCATCTAAAATAACAATCATAAGTTTTAATACAACACAAAAACATGAGAAGTTGTAGGATTCAAATAAACATTTGGGGTTAAGGCTGTGCGATGACCAAAATCTCATATCCTCATGTAAGACATTTCTCATCCTGATAACGATGTACATGACAAAAAAGGGCTTTTTATGTAAACTCTGCGAATCTTGAGTGAATGATGAAGAACAAACCATAACGAGGGGCAGGGCTACTACACTGCATTGTGTCCATCAGGTAAAAAAAAAAAAAATCTGTTGGCTAATCTACACCATATCAATAACAGCTTCCTTAAGGTTTTAAAATGCACTGCAGCTGCATTTTAAAACACATCTACAAGCAATGCCAAAGAAACACACAGGTATGAGTACAGAGGTACTATGAAGGTAGCTCACTTCTTACTGGAGTATATCACCATAGTGACTTAAACTGTAGAGCAAACCTGCTTCAGAGCAGGTTGTGTTTGAGATTACGGATCAACAAGTATGAAATCACCACTTAGCTACCAATCAGTTCTCTGGAAAACTGCTTTACAACAAGTACCTGAAAGATCCCTTTGGACTGCTGTGCCATGGATAGTGGGAGGATCTTTCCATTGATGAGCATCAGTAGTCTAATCAGTTTCAGAACAATTTCACAACATTTTGAATTCCTCTATAAACATTAATCTCGTTTTTTTCTTTTGTCTGCAACGCTTGTCCCTAGCATGTCCTCGTCCATGAAAGCATTTAATCTTATCTGAGCAATTCCTCTTGGTCTCCTGTATCACTGCTCATCATTCGACATGCTTTTCCCAGTATATCCACGCCCATTTTTGTATTTATGCTTGTATTTTCTCCCAGACTGGTAAACATCAACAGAGCTCAGCAAAAGAACTTTTAGTTCCTATTTCAACTTTATTAATACAAGTGTTTAACCTTTTCATGTTTATAGTTTTATCTTTCTTTGTAAAGTCAGCTGTTCTGCTGCTCTGTATGTGATTGGTCAGATGCCCCCAACGCCACCCCTTTCATGTAAACAGGCTAGTAGCTAAAATGGGAAACCCTGGTTTACCTTATAGAGTTGATAACTAGCGTCATGTGATCACTTAGTCTGATTGACAATGTTGGGATAAGTTAATCAAGATAACAGAAAGATTTCTTGAGTATGATGAACAATGAATTTAACTCCTAAATGTGACTTCCTAACACAGACTGTGATGACGTCATACGCTTTGTACTTTGATGTGTGGTGATTGGAAGTGTCTGTGTGGTGCAGCCTGGACAGACCAGACCAGCTGCACCACACAGACACTTCAAGAGAATGATTGTTATGAAACTTCCATACAAATTGAGGGAAAAATGGAGAGTTGTTGCCTATGAACTGCAGGAACAAAATGGTCACAGAGCAGTGTTCACTGATCTGGTTGCCTTCATAATAAAACAGGTGAAAGTAGCATCAGATCCAGTGTTTGGCAACATCCAAGACTCACAATCTGGAAGCAGCTTTAAAGTTTCAAGTTCCACCAAGCAAAGAAAAAAGGGAAGTAGTTTTGCCACTAATGTCAGTACAGTTCCAGGAGTCAAAACTCAATCAACTGGAAGCAGAACAAATTCCACTGTTCTGCATAGTTGTTTGTTTTGTTCACACAGCAATCATTTACTAGAGAATTGTAAGCAGTTTAAAGCTAAAATGCATCGGGATAAGTTGACTTTTATCAAGGAAAGGGGAATTTGTTTTGGTTGTTTAAAAGTTGGTCACATAAGCAAAGACTGTAGGAGTCGTTTGAGACACAGCAGCTGAGCAAATGATCATTTCATGCTGAAGACATCCTCAGACAGAATTAAATACATACATAAACACAGCCTGGTGCCAATAACACAGCTAATGACACTGCTGTATCACTGGCTTTACTGATTAAAGACCATATCTGAAGGAAATCTTTGAACACAACAGAAAGTGACCTTTTAAACCTGCGACACTGATGCTGCATTCAAGGACCATTAAAAACATCTGAAAGGACTTAAGAACATGAAGAAAATGTGACTTGTTTCTCTGTAATGAAGCTGTTTTAGTGAAGAAAGTTGAAAGGTCACAGAGCGACTGCTGAATCTTCTGCTCTAAACATGAACTCTGAACTTTGTGATGCTTCAGGAGGAAAACTGCTTCAGTTATTCTCTCAGATTAGTTTCATATTTTCTGCATCAGATTTGAGTGAGATCCTGGAATGAAGACAGAAGAAAAGACTTTGTTCAAAGTTTGATTTATAGTCAAACCTTCCAGTTTATTCACACAATAAAACATCAACACAATATATGAATTCATTCATTAAAATCACAGTTTTTCCTCATTTGTTTGATGATTTTGACAAAAACAAACACAAACACACACACATGGTCTGCCATACTCATGAAGAGAAATGTCGACATTTTTCAATACAAATATTCCAGAAACATTTAGAGGATAGAGAAGTTTACATTTTCATGTGGAGAAATATTTTAGTAAATCAAAATGATGATGAGCAGTGATAGCCTCCATAAACAGTCACAGGAAAGATCTCCTTTAAAAACTCAGAAACATCAAGAGAACAACTAGAAGATGTGGAGGTACCACCCATAATGTTTGACTGACAGCTGATCTCTGTGCAGAAATGATGGAGAGAAAATAAAATGAAACTAAAATACAGATTTAAACCCACAATATGAAAGACTTCAGTCTATTTGAGCTTAATCAACTCAGCAGTGTCTCCAAATAGTAAACCAAAGTCCAGCATAGAGCGGCTGAGTGAATGTGGTCTGGACTCTGTGGAGGAGAGTCATGGTTTCAGAGACGCTGTAGAAGGACAAAATACCTGCTCTGTGATCCAGGTACACTCCTACTCTGGAGGAACGAGGACCTGAGACAGGAGTTTGGATGTTGTTGTACCAAAATGTATAACTGTTGTTGTTACAATACTAATGACCAAGATTTGTCATTACGTCCAAAAACACATTCATTACCCCATCCTTTTCTGCTGATATTCTTGTATGCGACTGCTACATAAACTCCTCCCCCTCTCCACTCCACCTCCCAGTAACAACATCCAGTGAATCTGTCTGGATGATCAGAATAAGACTGTTGTTGATTCATAAATGTTGCTTTTCTGTTCCCCTCTGATAATAACAGCCATGTGTGTGCTGTGTTTGGATCCAGTGTGATTTCACATGAATATTTTAAGAATCCAGCTCTGGTCTTTGGCTCTGGTGGATCTGACAGTAAAACATCCACTTCAGTGACTGTCAGTGAGATGTTTGTCCATTGCTCTCTCAGAATGTCCTGTAGTTTATCTCTGACCTCTGACACAGCTGCTGTCACATCCTCAAAGTAGCTCAGAGGACGGATATTGATGCTGGATGAGTCTGTAGACTCACTGAGTGCTGACAGTGAGGGGTAGTTGTGTAGAAACTGGATGTGATCCTCTGTGTGTGAGAGCTGCTTCAGCTCAGCATCTTTCCTCTTCAGCTCAGTGATCTCCTGCTCCAGCTTCTCCTCAAGCTCTTTGACTCGACTCACTTCAGTTTCCTGCTGGGATCTGATCTGCTGCTTCACATCAGAGCTTCTTTTCTGGATGAGATGGATCAGCTCAGTGAAGATCTTCTCACTGTGCTCCACTGTTTGATCAGCAGACTGATTGATGGCCTCCACCTCCTGTTGAAGCAGCTTCACATCTTTCTCTCTGTCCTGGATTCTCTGCTGGATGTTTTGTCGACTCACCTCCAGCTCTCTCTGCCTCTCAGTCCTTTCTGCTGCAGCTGAGACTGTGTCGTGGCCTTTATGTTCATCCACAGAGCAGAGATAACAGATACTCTGCTGATCAGTACGGCAGAACATCTTCATCACCTCATCATGACGAGAGCAGATGTTCTCCTGGAGCTTCTTGGAGGGCTCCACCAGCTTGTGTTTCTTTAATGGAGCTAACATATGAGGCTGAAGGTGTTTCTCACAGTAAGATGCCAGACAGAAACAGGACTTGAAGGCTTTTATTTTTCTTCCAGTGCAGACATCACAGGCCACATCTTCAGGTCCAGCATAGCAGTGATCAGCAGGAGCAGCTTGGAGTCCAGTCTTCTTCAGCTCCTCCACTAAATCTGCTAACATGGTGTTTTTCTCCAGGACAGGCCTCGCTGTGAAAGTCTGTCTGCACTGAGGGCAGCTGTAGATTTTCTTCTTTTCCTCTTCATCCCAGAAGCTTTTAATACAGTTCATGCAGTAGCTGTGTCCACAGGGAATAGTCACCGGATCCTTCAGTAGATCCAAACAGACTGAACAGCAGAATTTTGTTTGATCCATTTGATTCATGTGCTGTGCCGTTTCACCGTCTCTCAGTGACTGTCAGACAGTTTCACTTCCTCTGAACAGAAACAACCTCTGTGCTCTGAAGGGAAACAGATCTCTGCTCTTGTTCACCTCCTACAGGAAATGAGGCTCACCAGCAACTGCATTTACACCATGTTGTTTAGACCCATCCTGATACAGACACATCTGTGAAGGGAGGCACTAAAGAAATATTCTTACAGAGCGACCAAGAGCCAATCACATGATGCAGGGTGTGGTATGTTTGGTTACAGCATGCAGTAACAAGTCTGACCCAGTTAAAGTTTAATAGTTTATCTTTACTTGGCATTTGAAATTGAGTCAACACTCAGTGAGTTCATTTTATATTTCAAAAAGTTCAGCAAAGTTTAGGATGCTGTGATGAATAAAAATAAATGACACTTTATATTTTGACATTTTCTAATCTTAGTTCATTCTCACACTTACAGAATGATGCATGGGAACAACTGACTCCACTAAATCAAACCTATGTTCAAATGAGATTATGATCATTAAATAGTAACAAATATTTAAATTTAGCAACAACAAATGCAGATCGGTCCACAGTGTTTACAAAAACAAACAAACAAACATTATTTTGTAGTTTTACTGTGTACACAGAATCTCTCTTTTTTTTTTTAAACTTCTGCCTTACACCTTCAGCCATTTTAGTTTGTATTTGTTCATATCCACAAATGCAGCTCACGTTCTGATATCAGCCTTCTGCACGTACACCGCGACCGGGAAAGTGCCACTTAAAAGTTTCAGTGTCATGAACTCTGGTTACTGTATGAGTTTTGTTTCTCCACCTTTAAGGAACTCGAGACCTTACAGGAGGTTTATCAGAAATAAATCATTACATCCTTATCAGTATCCATCCATCATTCAAAACATTACATTCATTTTAAAACTTAAAAATATATATTTACACTTTCAATTAAAAAACAGAGTGTTAATGTCTTATTTCCAGCATAATGTTTACTTATAATTCTGTGATCATTTTCTTGTGCTTCGGTTGAGTCACTGCAAAGGAAAATAAGCTCATGGATGCCACAGAAAGGATTGTTCAGCCAGTATTGAGCCTGCAGACCAGACTGTAGCAGAAAGAGAAAGTCAAACTCTTAGAGATGTTTATGATTACTTCAATGTCTTAAATATGTGCATGAAAGAATATTAAGGTAACATATAGAGATGTGAGCGATACTGTTTGTTTTGAAACGAGAGTGAAGGATTGTGTGTTAAAGAAAACGAGCCATAAACGTGCAGCATGTACACTCGGAGATTTGGGTTTAGTGCACTGAACAGAAGGGACGCTGCTCTCGAAAGCTGCTGTGACGGGCGGGGAAACGTTCTAATGCAAATGTACATATCTTCATGCATGCTTTGCAAGCTCAGTGGATGTTTATTCTTTTTTTTCTTTTTTAAAGAAAAGCCCGTCTGTATAACAGAATCATTAAAATGTTAAAGGTTATGTGGTTTTGTTTAATTGTTTATGTCAAACGTCGACCTTAAAGACATCAACAGAATAAGAACTTGGACATAAATTAGCCTTATGAATAAATAAAGTGTGAAAATATCAGTTTGTTTCAGGTAATGTCAGCTGTTTATTAAAAAAATATTCCTTTAAAAAAACGTTTTCATCTCTATTTTTTCTTAAACCTAATTACTAGTCTTAATTAAGGTGAACAGACTCTGAATGGGGGACTTTTATTTTAATTGTATTAATGTATGTAATGTATTAATTACATTTATTGAATTAAATAAAGATTAAGCCTTATTTTTAAAGAAGACATGCTACTGAATACATGGACTGTAGATAAAAGATGGAGGTGACCTTTTACTCGAGTTATTAGTTTTGAATTTTCTGGTTTTTATTTTTCATTCCATTTTGACTTTTTAATAATAATAATAATAATGGATTGGATTTATATAGCACTTTTCAAGGCACCCAAAGCGCTTTACAATACCACTATTCATTCACTCTCACATTCACACACTGGTGGAGGCAGCCTACAGTTGTAGCCACAGCTGCCCTGGGGCAGACTGACAGAAGCGAGGCTGCCATATCGCGCCATCGGCCCCTCTGGCCAACACCAGTAGGCAAGTAGGGTAAAGTGTCTTGCCCAAGGACACAACGACCAGGACAGAGAGCCCAGGGATCGAACCGGCGACCTTCCGGTTACAGATGCGATTTCCAACCCCCTGAGCCACGGTTGCCCAAAACTTTAAGGTCAGTTTAGTGTCAGTTAGTCTCCAGAGTGAATTTTCTTCTTTCAGTGTAGTTTTTAGTAGTTTCAGTTACTTTTAGGCTTTTAAATTATTATTGTTATATGGAGGCCAAATGTCAGAGGGAACATTTATGAAAATCAGCAGAGAGATCACTAAAAATAAAGATTTACCCCTTATTTTTAGTTTAGTTTTCCAAGTTCAAAGTCTTGAAATGTTTTATTTTTTATCTCAGTTTGGGTTTAGATTAGATTAAATTTTAGTTTGTTTTTTGTTGCTAAGCAAGCATTGTCAACATGCTCCATCCATAAATACAGCTCAACCTTTGTTTAATTTAATGTATTTTTTATTCATTAAATAAGATCAAACTAATTATGGGGGGAGGGACTTTTTATTTAGTAATTTTTGTTGCAATAACCAAACAAACAAGCAACATATTAACATTCTCTGACATAAGACCATTTAAGAGAGAGAGAGGAAAAAAACAGACCACGATTAATATAATGATATGTCGTAGGGGAGATTTATAGCTTTATATTACAATGTTCCAAAGTTCGTGTTCATCCACCCAAGTATCTGTCCACACATCCATCTCTGGTGGAAGATCTCCACCTTCAGTTGCAGGCTTGCTGTCATTCTTTCCATTGTATGAACTCTTTTCAGTCTCTGTTTCCATTGAGTTATGGATGGTGAGTTTGTTTGTTTCCATTTCACGGTTATCCTTTTCTTAGCTATCAGTATATATTTTTCATCTATGGTGTACCTCTCTCTAGGTATAACTCCCAAGAGAAATATGGTGGGTTCAGTGCAGGATTTACTTGTAGGATTTTCTCTGTTTCTTCTTTGATTCTTATCCAGAAACCTTGAATTATTGGACAGTCCCAAAAGATATGTGAATCGTCTCCTATTCCCCCACATTTTCTCCAACATAGTTCTGCATTGGGTTCCTTACAATATGAGGAGATAACAAGAGGTGTATTAAAAAAATCTAATTTTAAATTTCCAGTCAAACTCTCCATAATTGACTACTTATTCCCTTGTTTTACACATCTCTTCCCATACATTATCAGTGATAATAATATTTAGTTCTAGTTTCCATTTCTCTTTAATATGGCCTGTATTTTAAGATCAAACTAATTTTAATATTAGATAAAAAAAATAACCCAAGTAAGTAAAAAAGTGTTTTATAAACGATGATTTCGTTAGAAATCCAGAAATCACTCAAACAGAACCTGTCTGTCAAAGTGAAGCAGGCTAAAAGCTCAGAAAAACAAACATCGCACCACGATGTAAAGACGCTCAAGAAAACTTATGAGAAAAATTACAAAGTTATTGGCATCTATTAGTCTGCAGATGTTTGTAAGGCTTTGGGGCTCCAGTGAACAACGGAGAGGTGAACTTTCCAAGAAGCTACCAGTGACTCATCCAGGTCACAAAAGAACCCAGAATAACATCTAAAGAACTGCAAACCACAGAAATCTAACATATAAGAAATGTATAAAACCACATGTGCTCGATGGGTTGTTTTTAATTGTTATTCTTCTGTGTTTCAATTCCTGTTAAGATAAACCAGCTGGAGGGAACGCGGCAGATAAACGACTGCAGACAGAAGAAGAAACACAAAGCAGCAGTTTCTGTAATTCTCTTTTATTAATTTTTTTCTTCACATTTTTATTGACAGAAGTCAAGTAACCAAGGCATCTGTAAACAGTGCATCCACAAATCTACATGTTGCCTCTCATCAGTGCGATCGTTCAGTCATTCAAAAACACTGTTTGGAAATAAATACAATACTGATTGTTTTTTTTTTCTTTAAAAAAAGAAGAAGAAGAAGAAGAAGGTAAAACCTACATCTGCCTGAAGGAGCTCGTAAAGATTCAGTCTTTGTCTGTAGTCACAGTCTGGAAATGATGCCACATATGAAGCAACACACGGAGGTAAACGACTCGATGTGGTAAAATCCTGAAGCCGGAGGATGAAATACTGACACCACCTGCACGGCTGGTTATGTGCGGCTAAAATGAGAAGTGAGAATTTCTGGACCTTTGAACCCCTTAAAAAGCTTTCAGCTTCATTATAAAGATTACAGTATATCTATCAGTGCATCAGGTGGTCCAGGTGTGTGATTAGGAGGCTTCCTGTGTGCCTCATTACGAGGTTTATTAAGCTGTACGACACCCAGAAAGCCACAAACTTCCTCCTAACAGCACTGCACCGCTGTCCAAAGACGACTGAAATGTTCCTTTATTACCATGAACACAGACCCACTCCCACATGCATCACTGTGCTGCCCCAAAAGTAACAGGTTGACTAATCCGCCATGAAAAATAGTCCCCAATAAACGCACCTTTTCCTCCTGTTAAACAAAAACTTCCCATTTTCTTTTTGTGTGGTATCAAAAAGGGAAAAAAAAGCCAGCCATCAAGAAATACTGGTGTCAGCAGTTCATCCCCCCAGTGTCGTTTGAGACGTGAAACAGCGCCGCCTGCAGCTAAACCACAGCGCTGCATGGACGAAGTGAAACAGCAGATGTTCTGGTTGTTAAATGTTCAACGGATGGACGAGCATCTCTAACACGACACAGACGGACACGGTGAGATTTGTATTAGTTGTTCTCGCTGTACATGAAAATGGAATGATGTGCTGAAATTTGATTCTACTCTACTTTCTCTACTGGAATCGTGCGTCAAGTTTTCCTTCCATTTACTGAGAAGTGGTGCGATTTTTTTTTTGTCCCAACGACGTTTCTTGTGTGCGATTATTGTCCACCTGTCCTTAATTTTATCACCTCAAAAGTCACTCTAACATTACAGAAACATGTTATTGCATCAGACATGAGCTCTAACCTGTTCAACCATGATAATCACTTTAATTAAAACAAGAATCTTTTTTAACATCACTGAACCCTTAAAGCTCACCAGTCAGTCATCAGCTCCAGCACGCGCCTCATCTTGAAATATTCCAGCTTGAATTTTATTTTTTATCCTATTGCTGCACAAGATGCACCGCGACTCTCTGAGGGGAACAAAATAGGAAGCACGTGTAAAACAATAATAATAATAATATTAATGCAGTAACTGTAAACAAAAACAAGGGTCGACTGATGGATTGTTTGTTGGCTGTTATGAGTTTCATGATAACCGTGTATTGACGATTACAATGAAGTGACAATACTGTGTCAATAATGCAGGTATAACGTAAACGTATGAATAACTGTTCTCTTTTTACAGGTATGCCTAGACTTGCTCAAACCTTTGAGCTGAACTATTTTGAATTTTAAATTCTTTAAATCTAACCAAGGAAAAAGGGCAGACTAGCTTGGGTAAAAGAACAAAAGTTTAGGCACACAACGATGTGTGCCGCTGGTCAAGTTTCTGGGCTGCTTTTCCTCATAACAGCCATCCCTCAAGATTTTCTCCATTTAAAGCAATGCATTATCAGGGATTGTAACATCGAGTCCTTTTACTGAATCTTTGATGAATGCATAAAAATACAGCCCAAGTCGACCTGTTGGTATCTGTCTGAAGTCTTACTGCTTAAACAGCTGCTTTTATTACGTTTTTATTAGTTTGGTGAAAGAGGTTAAACGCCAGAAAACGGTTTAAAAATTGTCCTTCACCTGCTGGAGCTCAAACCGTGCAGCAAATGAAACAGGTGGCTTTAAATGAGTGTAAACTTTCTGGGGTTCAGGAGTGATGGTCAAGCATCTCATTTTAAAGTTTGCCCAGTTTGAATGCTCAGCATTAAATATCAGAGCTGCTTTTATCTGAGGTCTCAAAAGTAAAAACACCGGGACAAAATGAGGCACCAACCGTGCTGTCGACACACAAAAATACTGTTTTGGTTCTTGTTCTCTGTCTCGCATGTAACAAGTATTGATCGTCTTTCTCTTCGGTTGGTTTGGGACATGATGTGCGTGTCGGACGGCTGGTACACATCTGCCCAGCGGGTGTCCTCACAGGACAGCGATCGATGAAACTGCGCGTGTACAGTAAGAGCACATGTAACATCGAACCTCCACGGGCATCGCACCTCGACATCCAAACACAGTGTTTTTGTGAGGTTTGAGTTTTCAGAGGGAAAAACAAACACAGATGTGTAACGAGCTGTAAACAGAGAGCCAAGAGGAAAGAAGCTCTGACACTGATCTAAATTTATATTTCTGTTCCTAAAGCTCAGAAATGCCCTCAAGGTTTCTAGACTGAGGAGAAAAGTTTTGGCCTGCAGCCTCAGTGGAAGCAAATCCTCATCCAACTGTTTATGTACAAAACACAAACATGGCTTACATGGTGGTACAGGTTCAAAAATATTTCCTTTGTAAATGTAATCTCTGGATTGAAAAGAATCCAAAAAATTTGGAGCAAAATTGTTTTCTGGATCAAAAAAAGAAGTTTGTCCCATCACTGTGCGCACTGACAGTGTCCGACAAATGTTATTGATTTACTTTTACTAATACTATTCATTTATTGATTTATTGCAAAACTATTAAAACATTTTAAGAATTAAACTTGTTACTTTTTGAGCTTTCATCACTGTTAAGAATCACTTCAGTTCCACAGTTTGTTTAGTGTAAAGCAGAATTAAAAACATAAAAGTGATGGTGTTTATTTGCTTCCACTGGGCTGCTAAATCGAAAATTTAACTACTTTAACCACTAACTAATTTTAAAACAAGCTTTAAATATGGCTTAATTGTTACCTTTGAAATCAAAACAAACAAGAAAAAAAAAGGTCTAAATGTTCTGTTATTGGGTTGTGTTTTCTTCAGATTGGTCATTTTTATTTATTTTTGTTGAGGCTTCTTGTTGAAAACTTTCCAAATACGGTGACTGCTTGCTTTTCAGTGCATTTAGTAGCAGTTGTGCAACTTTTCCTTCACAGAACACGATCAGAACACGTCTACCAAAAAACGACTCTGCTTCTTCTTTGTGTAAGAGCTCAGTGAATACTCTCCTTTTGAGTTTAATGTTATATTTTTTAAATGTCATAATAAATGGAGCAAAATTTATTCTGACCTTTAACGACTAAATCTGTTACACCAAACTGCCAAAAGAAAAAACAACGTCTGAGGTCCAAACTGGCGCTTCACGTCTTTTAAAGTCGAGCTGTTATCCTTACTTTAAATGTCTGCTGTTTTAATGGTGAATATTTAAGTGAGTGAGCTGGGAAGTCCCTACTATTGTCATCTCAGGCAACACCACTCTGGGTGTGAGACCAAAGCCCCACCCCCTCCTGCTCAAACCTACTGTTTGTGAGGGGCAGCCAACCAGAAGAAAGCAGGTTTAAAGCAGTGGTACTTTTTTTTCTATGCTCTTGCATTGACTCTAGATCAAGACCCTACGTTTGTTGTTAGTAATTGATAAAAGATGGTTTAGTGACAGGTGAAAACAGGATCAGGCCTGAAAATGTTTAAGAACCACTGGTGTAAAATATTAAAAGAGCTTGTTTGGGACAGTAGACGAATTGAGGGACTGAACAAAGGCCTGTATGAGTTAAAATAGGATTATTTTAAACTGTGAGTCATGCAAAGCTACTCTAGTCGAGTCCAAGAGTAAAACAGTAGAGCTGGAAATGAGCCTAATTGGACTTGCACATTTGATAGGTTAAGCGTTTCGGTTTTTCATATTGCTAAAAGCATCTTTGGGTTTTGTGGTTGAACAAAATAATTTGAGCTCAGAAAAACTGACTTTTTTTTTTTAGATCAAAGAAAACGATCATTAGCTGCACTCCATCAGGAATCTGTGACCTTTTCTCTACTTTCTCAATAAGCTACTGAACCATTCTGCAAACTGATGCCTTATTTTCTTATTTTTTCCTCACTTGGCTGCGACTTACACCTATCAAACGCAACACACATCACATTCTGGCAGACGAGCAGGTCATTACCCATAATACACCAGGACTACTGTTTCATATTAAACCAACAAGGTGCATTCATACAGTTTCCATCTGCAGATGCCGCTTTCATTTCTGGAGCAGACAAAGGGAACAGATGACTACACTATGACCTCTACTTGATGGTCGACTACTCGCCATCCTACATGTTGAGTACAAATGTTAGAGTTGCTGTTAGTAAAGTGGACGGAAGTCACTGAGCCTGAAATGCAGTCCGTTTCTTTCCTCGTTCTTCCAGTCGTTTATTCGGAGAATCCGCCGCTGGCTCGCCGGGAATGTGGTCAGGAGGAAAATGCCGATCCTCTTTTTTTTTTCCTCCCCAGGTTAAGCTGCTTATCACAGGGTGCCAGTCGGAGGCCCGGATGTATGGATGCATTGTATGGAGCTGGAAAAAGCCAAAACAATCCGACTTTCAGCAGTAATACCGCGTGTCATTGTGTCAGGGGAGCAACAAAAGGCCTTGCATCGAAGAGGAAGGCATTCTGTGCATGCTAAGCTGCTTAGCCCAGTGACCTGTTGGGTTTTTTCTTTAAAAAAAAAAAAGATTTTAAAAAAGGACGCTGTTTTTCACATAGCACCATGCCATCGGTTTCCAGTTCTTTAACGGTTGTGTGTCACATTTCCAAAGGTTTTTCTTTTTTTTTCCAGTGAAAGCGCTGATACAAGAACAAAAATGGCTCAAAAGAAAATCGCAAATGAGGATGAAGCACGCAGACGTGAGGCGACGGTGAAGCTGAAGGGAGAGGTTAGCGAAGCTGAGGTATCTGTTCAGGTGACTCCTACAAGGTGACCAGTCTGTGTGTGAGGGGCTTCCAGTGTGTTTTGTACTATTAATGTGAGGATCGTGGTGACAGAAGGCACACATTGCCAAGGTGGAGTGTGGAGGTGGGGGCTTATGAGCGATGAACTGTCTTCCATCTCAAAGGAAACCAAGCTTCCATTTGCATTTCAATGAACCGAGCAGAGATTTCCACCTGGTCTGGACAAAGTGGAGGTCTACCTGAAGGTTTTCGGTCCACGTAGTTTACCAGTGTTTCACCAGCTAATCAGAGATTTGAGATGCGAGCAGGACATCCGTGTTATGACTGGTGTTCCTGACAGCGGCTAAAAACCCAGCTGACTGGAGAAACAAGATGTCAGTGGAAGAGACCTGCCTCGTCGCCTGACCCCGATCTGGAGCTCAGACTCGGACTGAGACGTGTTCCAGTGATTGGGCAGGTGCGGGGCTGGGCGCCGCTGCGGGTGAAGGTCCAGCCGCGGCTGCCGGAGGAGGAGTTATTGCTTTCAGCTCCTGGCCGGGGCAGCTCTGGGTGCTAACGCCACGGTTCAGGGTGCCGGCGCGCGGCGGTGCATTAGCAGGCAGAGCGTTGGGGTCGGTTCGAGGGATATTCACGGGACAGGATCGGGTGCGGGCGTGGCCCTTGTGGCCGCCGGGGTGGCAGACGAGGCTGCCCACGGTGTCGACGGGCGACAGGTGGCGCTTGAGCCAGCGCTCTACCCGCTCCTCTTTGTACTTAATGGAGTACCAGGTGAGGAAGATGAAGAGGAAGCCAAGGAACTTGAGGCTAGCAGCGAGGCCGAAGTACACGAAGCGCAGAGAGGTGACGTCGTACTCCCAGCAGGAGCCGTGGACGCCGCAGTCCTGCTGCCACAACATGCAGGTGGTGTCGATGACGGCCCCAAAATAAATGGGAGTCGGGATGTACGCTGAGTAAAAAAAGAGAAGAAGAAGAAATCAGGCGGGGGAAAGAACGAGAGAGTGGACAGAAGAGGAGATGGAAAGAGCAGAAAGAAAGAAAAAAACGATGACATGGAAGAGAAAACAGGGAAAGAAGAAGTCAAGGGAGGTAAAAAAACAAACTAAACAAAAAAAACCAGAACAGACGTGAGCTCTCAGCTTTCTCATTGAGGTGAGATGCCAATAAAGCTGCAGGAGCTGCTGTGAGAAACTGCAGCACAAGATGAGAAGTGCCATCCTGGATTCCATAAATTTCATAATCCTCACCACCTGATTAACCCCAAACACCTCAGAGTTTCTAACTGTCCTCTAAATGATTTACACTGACAGCAGCTCCCTGAACATGCATCAAATATAATTCACCTCCTTTGACTCCTCCTTATTCAGGATAACTGCCACTTTTTAAAAATCTGTAAAACATCTCGTCAGTCAGGAGGCACCGAGTGTTTACAAGCAGTGAGCCCATCTCTCCATCGAGCTCCACAAATAACACTGCTGATATTCTGCTTTTCTATTTAATGTCATGGCAAAATAAAACAAGACGAGCAGCTCTGTGCTTTCCGGTTCTACTCACCGAGAGTCCTGAGGAGGACAAACTGCATTCCCAGAGCGAACGGCCGCTCCTGCTCCGCTACAGACCTGCAACACACAGACAGGAGACTGAGGAAGGCAGAAACAGAGGATGATAGAACCAAATAAAGCAACTGCCTAAGCTAATGTTAAATATTACAGTTGAATCGCTAAAATTAAGTGTTTGTTCAGTGATAACAACACACAACTCTGTGTTTCCGTGAATGTAGATTTATTTCCAAGCATCGTGCCTGCATCTAAAACATTTCTGAGACCACACACAGGAATAGAAATGGAAATTTGGTTGAGGTAGTCAAACTTCACAACTCGAATAAATATTCACCATCCATGCCTGTTGGGCAACCTCTTGGTCTGTAATATGCAATAAAATCCCCCAAAGAAACGAAAAGCTTCACAGCCATATTTATGAAAAATAAAACGGTTAATACTTTAAAAAACAAAAAAAGCAAAAGTAAAAATGAACCAAATGGATGGGAACTGATCTGTGGACTTGGCTAAGAGTGTTTTCACCACAGACGGCACATAACCATGTTTATGTTTATGTTTTTTCAAGCATTAGCCAAATTACCTTTAATCTTAGTGGATTACAGGGACATTAAAAGGGCGGGGATTCACCAGTCGACTCTGATAAAACTCTAAAGTTTGCTGACTCTGCACACAGACGTCACCATGTTTGGATGAGAGCAGGAGAGCTTTGTTATCAGATAAAGATAACAAGACTGATGCCGGCAGACTTGATCAGCTTAGACGTGATTCAGCAACAATTCTGCTCATTCACAACAAATATCTGTGTTTTTGGCTTTTTTTATTATGTTCATCTTACTTGACTGTCCTACTGCGTGAATACAAATCTACTTAACAAAGACCCACTTATCCATTTTTAAATCGAAAATGGCCCCATGACTGAATCCTTTAATGATGTTAACATTTTTATTTGTCGAATGTTCAGAAATATCTATCAAATACATACATTTCCATCAGACAAATTAGTTACACAGTCATTATTTTTACTGTATGTGGTGATCACATTTAAAAGGTCCAAAGACTTTGTGGGAATTGAGTTGATAAAGTTTGGAAATCACAGTTTGATAGTGCTGCCACTTGGATGAAAGAAGAAATGTTCACGTTCAAATTCATCGTCACATCATCAGTCTAATAAGAGATGCCCAGACCTCTCCAGCTGATCTGGGAAGGTTACTGAGACATTCCCAAGCCAGTACTATCCCAGTACTATCCCAGTACTATCCCAGGGGTCTTCTCCCAATGGGAAATGCCCAAAACACCTCACCTAGGAGGCGCTCGTGAGGCATCCTGTTCATTTGCCTAAACCATCTCAACTGGCTTCAACCTCCATAAGGTAAGAGAGGGAATGTAGATCAACCAGTAAGTCAATAGTGTCGCCTTTACTCTCACTCTCACAGTTTGTCTACAGTCAGTAAAGTTTCTTCAACTTTTCAAGCACTTTTGATTATTTTTGAAAACTCATTTCCTACAAAAATAGAAAATTGTTTCTTTTTTTCTCAGAAAGGTGATAAGAACACCTGGTCTGCAGAGAGGCAGTTACTTAAAAACCAAAGAGGCTGACGACTTTTAGTTGGAACAAAACATTGACATCCCATCCTCCTCACAGTGAGTGATTCATAAAGGCGTACCTGAGGGTGACAATGATGGCGGAGGGCTGAGCGCAGGCAGTGATGAGCGTGACGATGAAGAGAAAGATGAGGAAGGGGATGAGCGTATTGCAGGTGCGGTCGCACTTCCCCGACACGGCGTAGCCGTTCTCGTTCAGGTAGGTCTTGACGATGACGAGCTGCAGCTGGTTGCTGCCCTGACTGCCGGTCGACGGCGTGATGACCTGCCGGCTCTGAACGCAGGCGCAGTCGGAGTAGTTTCGGATCTGGAGGGCAAATGAAGATACGTATGGAAGTTTAGACACATGGTTCATAATGTTATTACTTTAGACATTAATGTAACTGCTAAAAACAAGTGAGAAAGCCATGAAGCAGATGTTCCTGAGGTTCTACAGTTTTGGATGAATTAAATGAGACCAACCAAACAAATCCCTCAAACCACTGCTGCTCATATGGCAGTCTAACAGTGGGCGAGTAGACTGCACCCTCAAGATTTGCACTGGTGTATTTTTAATGTCTTTAGCACTGGGAAAATAAAGGCCTTTTATTACTCTTTCAAACCTATCCAAGTGCCTCCGTCTAATAATGACGAGACTGCCTACAGAGGGCAGATCCAGCATCTGCTGACTCAAACAAAAACCTTGATCTTAACGTTATAGAAAGTCCAAAAAAGGTAGACAGAGCCCCATCTACAACAGGGTAAAGCTGAGAACATAACGAGCTTTCAGTTCCTTGGTCTCTATGCCTCTGGGGACCTGACATGGTCTCTATATACTTCCTGATAAGCAACAACAATGCCTCCACTGCCTGAGGAGATTGAAAAGGCTCCATCTGGACAGCTTCTACCACTGCACGGTAACATCTTGCACAGCAGCTTGGTACGATCACTGCACCTGCAGCGGTTAGTGAAACCAACAGAGCGTCCTGTTGGCACCCGCTACGTGCCGTTAAAGACTGCTACCTGAAACGCTTTACCTTGCATGCGTGTAACATGAACTATGACCCCACTCCCCCTTTCAACATTGATCCCCCACCGAGTGTGAAACAGTACCAGTGTCTCACACTGTAAGGCTCAGGAACAGATTTTTTTGTTCCCGGACTGTAAATCTGTCTCTCCAATCGTGTGCACCATAAGCACTGAACTCAGTCACACACTGTAACACACATAATCACTGGATCAGAACCTGCCACACTCTGACACTTTATCAGTAACAACAGATTACCTATAAGTCACTAACCTGCTATTTTCTTTTCTTTATATTAATCTATATGATTTTTTTTTATTTTTCTTATTTCAAAATCAAAATCAAATCAAATCAAATCACTTTTATTGTCACATCGCATGTGCAGGCACACTGGCACAGCACATGCGAGTGAAATTCTTGTGTGCGAGCCCACAAGCAACAGAAATGTGCAAACACAACAACACAAACCAGCAAATACAAGAATGGCTACATCTGAAACTAATAAATATATGTACAATATATAATAGTGTATGCATTTCTGGATGTGTATACTAAACATTTTCCTGTGTGTGTGTGTGTGTGTGTGTGTGTGTGTGTGTGTGTGTGTGTGTGTGTGTATACACATTTTACAAATTAAATAGTAAAAAAAAAATAATAATAATAATAATAATAATAAAATATATAAAAATATACAGAGTTGAATATGTGCAAAACAAGTGGCATTTATATACAGTGTGTAGTGCATAATGTTGAAGTTCCAGTAGTGAAGCTGAGGTGTCTATGACGTGTTCAGCAGTCTGATGGCCTGATGGAAGAAGCTGTCTCTCAGTCTGCTGGTACGGGACCGGATGCTGCAGAACCTCCTTCCTGATGGAAGCAGTCTGAACAGTTTATGGCTGGGGTGACTGGAGTCCTTGATGATCCTCCCCGCTTTCCTCAGGCAGCGCTTCCTGTAGATGTCTTGGAGGGAGGGAAGCTCACCTCCAATTATTTTATCCTCTTTTATATCATTTTATGTTTTTGCTTTTCTATTATGTTACTGTGTCGTGTCATTACTGTGTTGTGTTGCGCTGCACCTATATATTAATACTGCATATATCATTGTGTTGGCTTTGCTTGTATAATAACAACAAAATGAATTAAACAGAACTTTTTGATAACATTTTCCTTTTTTTGCCAAAATTATTAAAATCTTCTGGTTTTTGGCCTTGAAATCACACATATACAACGCCAGGATAGTGTCCAGGTTACTATTACCCCGTAGTGTTTACAAGTTCAAACAAGTTAAACTGAAGATCTTTTAAAATGAATATTGAGGGAAAAGCACATCTAAACTAAAACCTTCTTCCATCTCACTTCGAAATAATTTATAAAGTAACAGTTAAGTTCAAGAACACTGTCTAAATGCAATTATTAATTTGAAAAGAACAGAAAAATATAATTTATACATCAGTTAATATACCAAATTAGAACCTGTTTCTAATTTAAAAAAGAAGCTGAATGGTTTAAAGAAGCTAACCCAGCAAACATGACTGTTTGAGAACATCACCAAACTCCATCACAGTTCAGAGGTTGTTGCCAGTAAAAATGACATACGTGACCTTTAGTTCGTGCTAGTTTGATTAAATTCGGACCAATGCTGTAGGTGGAGTAGCAATTCTGCTTTGAGCTTATTGATCCTTTAATTTAATTCAGTTTTATTTATGTAGCGCTTTATATTTTAAGGTAAATTGCTAAAATAATACAGAAAAAAAAATCCCAGTTAACATGAGCGAGCACTTGGTGACAGTGGGAAGGAAAAACTCCCTTTTAACAGGAAGTATTCTCCAGGAAGAACCAGGCTCAGGGGGGTGCGGCCATCTGCCGCGACCTGCCTGTGGATGAGAGGACGGAGCTGCATGAGCTGAAAATAGCAACAGTCAAGCTGAGAAAACAGCGTGCCGTGGGCAGAAAATAGTGAAACAAAACATTTAAAATACATCTTAGACTGAATTTAAGATGTTTTAGTGTCAACATTTAAAAAAATAAGACACAGGTATCGTGGCCTCTTACCCCAGTGCTGTCGTTGGCCACGCTGCCACAGCCAGCTAGGCAGGGGTTAAAATATGTGATGCCATCAGAGCCGCAGACCGGAGCGTACTCGTGGATTTTACAGCCGCAGTTCACATTACAGCCTCCGGTCAGGTTCCTCTGCGTCATAGTGAGTGTAGGTCTGAAGGGAGAAAACAGAACCTTTTTAATTAGACAGTTATTTTCCTTTAAAGCTATTCCACTTCTGAGTGTTCAACACTGAAAACAAATTAATCCCAGCACTTAGTGGCATTAAGTCAAATTCAGTCTGTTAACAGGCGACATCATTACACTAAACACTGTGTAAAAGCTCATTTCTTGCTCGCAATGATCCGCATATTGACTGCTTGTCTAACACATTACTGATAAGCAGCATCAAAGTAAAGCTCAGGCTGATGGAAAAGTCATCACAGCTTTTCAATGAGCACTTTCGGTACATTTCTCCATTATTTTATTTAGTAATGATGACACTGCGTGAGGAAAAAGTTACAAATCTTCTTCAGAGAAATCTGACAGATAAAGAAATTCACTGAACACTCAGACGATTTGACGTGTTTGGGAAAAGCCAAAAAGAAAAACTAGAATTCTTAAGTTATGGGCAAAACAAGCTGTTTTCAGGTCACAGTGGCCTTGGTCCTAGACGTAGAAAAACTAATCATTTCTTCTTTCCTTCGTCCATGTAAAAGTTTGTGCCAAGCTGGCACGTCCTGATCTATTTTGTTCACAACAAGTTAAGCAGTAGGGTTGGATGGACGCAGCTGTCATCAAAACACAACAGACGAACAAAAGGAAAAAGCAGAGAGAGGACGAGGAAAAGGAGACAGAAGGGAGGGAATCGAAAAGAATTAAACATGAAGAGTGGAGGGCGAAAGGGACAGTCAGACTCACAGAGGGAAATAAAAAAAGACCAGAGGGACAAACGAGAGAGAAAACAGAGAGGGCACGCAGCCAAAGATCCTCTCTTCCAAGCTGTCCTTGGACATTTTCCACGGTTGCCATGTAATCGCTCTCAGGGACGCTTTGTGCAAAAGAAAACGCCTCCGTTCACTGGCTCGTTATCTGTTATCCTGCACTCATCCGAACATTCGCTTCCTCCCTGACATGAGCCACAGATGGGGTGATGAAAACTACCACCTACTCCGTCAGACCAGGAAATGATTAAACAGGAGAAAGGCCACGCTGCAGTCGGCAAACGGATGTCTGCGGTTTAAGGGAATGAGTCAGGATTCCAAGTTTACATCTGGAAGGAGAAGCAAAAGAACGACACCAGGGAGGTGCTGAAAAAAACAACTAAGGGCTGTCAGGTTGATGAAACTGCAGACTTGAATGGAGCAGATCTGGCCAAAAACTTGTGCCGCCTCTAAATGGTAAATGGCCTGTATTTATATAGCGCTTTACTAGTCCCTAAGGACCCCAAAGCGCTTTACATATCCAGTCATCCACCCATTCACACACACATTCACACACTGGTGATGGCAGCTACATTGTAGCCACAGCCACCCTGGGGCGCACTGACAGAGGCGAGGCTGCCGGACACTGGCGCCACCGGGCCCTCTGACCACCACCAGTAGGCAACGGGTGAAGTGTCTTGCCCAAGGACACAACGACCGAGACTGTCCAAGCCGGGGCTCGAACCGGCAACCTTCCGATTACAAGGCGAACTCCCAACTCCCAAGTCTAAAAACATGACTAAAAATGAACTTCAGAACTGTGTGGGATGATTGCAGGGGAAAAGATGTATTATTATGGCTTCATATCAAAGATTTGAGTTTGTTTGGTTTACAGGAGCTATAACATTTTAAGAAAACTAGCCTGATATTTTATTCTGAAGGATAAAATCTCTTTTTTTCCTATTATGTTGTCAACAAATAAACCTGCTGCTAATTGTCTTCAGTAACCATCTAGCTGTTCAGCCATAAAATAGTTCTAAAGCTGGAGGATATGCCCACCAAGGTTTCCTAGTAAAACAAAATAAAAATAAATAACAGGCAAGAAGTTATTCTGTTTCTCTGAATAAGAATAATGCTAAAAAATGCAGTACAGGAAATGAACAGATAATAACGCTGAGAAACCAACACATTCCTGAGGTTCATGAGGTTTTTTTTCTACCTTCTTTAATGGAAGAGTTTTGACTTTTTGTATGTCAGATAAAACAAGCTCTTTGAAAATGTCACCTGGAAACCCGTGAAGCCAATTTTTTCTGACATTTTCTAAATTTTTAAGATCAAACAAACAGACTAGTTTGGAGCAGACGTCACTGATACGTCAGTCGGGTGACAGGAAACAATTAGAAGAAAAGAAATAGGGGAAAACTTTCTGCTTCATGTGATTGTAGGTAACAAATGTATTTTTGTGTCACTGGAAGTCAGTATTGAAATAGCTGCTGATGTCCTTTACAGTGAAAAACAGAGTTTTATGGTTACAGTCTGTTATAAGTGACAAACTGGGCTGAATGAAATCATTCAGAGAGCATTTCACAATCAGCCAGCCCTCCAGGTTTGGTTGATCATCTTTAAGACACATGAAGGCACCATTTCATTACAGTACCATGTCAGCAACATTAGCAAACAAGCAAACTAGACTATTTATAGCCTGCTTACAACACCAGCCACTGTCAGTGCAAGCAGCAGGGCCTATAATGATATTATAACCACGATGTACTTTTCAGTCTGGACAAAGACTGAGTTAATGCTGCTTTCTATTTCAAGTGCAAAGTTGGAAGTATAACTGCTGAACTTTGTGTTCACTGTTCACACAGTATTTGCAGCTACGCAAAAAAGTCTTATACAGAGAACTGACTGGATTCTATCAGTGAACGTGCTACAGCTGTATTATTAGACTGAGAAAAAAATATATACACTGTGCTGTACTCAGGCACTGCACTGATGGCTGAATGGCTCCACCTTCAGAGCAAGTCACCGCCCGTTTTTCCAAATCCGACCTATAACCTGTGAGGTACAAGGAAGGCAGCATAAGCCTTTGGATCACGTCACATCGCCATTGTTTTCTGGCAGAGGTCTTAAACATCTGTTAGTCTTAAAGACGTTTCTAGGATCCACTCTGGTCCAAGTGACAAATGCTAGTGCCACCGACTATGCATGCATCCTTCAGTTGGACGTTACGTGAACTGTAACAGGAATGATGACCTGTGCAGGGTGTCTGTGACTCTCTGTGTCTGTGACTAAGTTTCATGCCTGCCTTACAGGGGAACCATTCACAGATCCAGAAAATCCATCGCCCACCTCTTGTACAGATGTACTTTTTGTCTTTGCCTCTAGCAACAGGCAGTACATCAGTCCTTTACACAAATATCGGCCAACAAAACGCTGTAATAAATGTCCTGGACATGACATCAAAGTGCAAGAATGCACGTTGCAAGAGCTTTGCCTGCTTCTAGGCTGGTGTTTGGATGTTTAGTTTTTACGCCATACAGAAAAACTTTGTCACAAAATGTCTTGTGTTGTTATCAGTGTGTTTTCACACTGCGCTGTTTAGTCTGTTTAAATCAAACTCTGGGCTGTTTTTTCCTCTCGGTGCGGTTCACAGATGCAGGTGTGAACACAGTCATTGCACTCTGGTGCTGATGAAAACATCCACAGAGAGATCCTTTGGAGGAGGTCTCAGTCTTGTCTTAACAAACTTCAGAGCAATTTATTTATGATGTGAACGTGAGCCAAGCCAACTTTGAGCTAAACACCTCCTGTACCTCCAAAAGTTGATTCTGTTCATCTGTTCGTTCCCACAAAACGCTACGTTCTATGGAGTTTGTTCTGTGTGAAAAGAAACCAAATCATGGAGAAAATCACGTTTACAAATTCATCGACTGATTTGGACCAAAGTAAATAAACAGTGTGTGAAATCAAATCAAAGCACACCAGAATCCAGAAACCTTTCTTTAACCCTCCTCCTCAGTCAGTCTGATTTTCTTTTACTTCTGTCTGTTTATTCTTAGCTTCGTCTTTGTCTCCTCCATCCTTTGAGTGTTTCTCTACATCCTCCACAACCACATCACTGCAGGAACAGCACACACAGACCCAGTGTAAAGACTCAATTCAGACATGAATGAAGTGGCATTGACGCCGAAGTGACGTCAGTCTTCCTCGTCAGCTGCGATGCAGCACGACCCACCACCTCCCCGGATTTCACCCGCCCAGCTTCTCCTTACCCGGTGGTGTAGGGGATGTTGATCCCTCCGAGGTTGATGCTCTCGCAGCCCACGATGAACAGCGTGGAGAAGCAGAGCAGGGACACGCCGCTGCAGATCATGGCCAGCTTGGCCGACTCGCGAGCGCCCAGCTTCAGCTTCTTAATGATGTAGCCGCCCAGGACGATCCCCACGCCGGCACTAGGTACAATAATCACACCTGAAGAGACAAAGACAAGCAAACAGAAATAATCAAATGTGGAAAAAAATCTTACCCGTACCTCTCAGGATCAGCAGATTACAACTTGCTTCATCAATACAGGAGATAACAAAGTAACAAAGACTCTTTTCTATTATGGGATTTTTCAAAGCTTCAATAGCAAAACGGCAGCAATTCAAGATCTGTGACAAAGAGGAACAGACAAATGAACTGGGACTCTGCCTGTTGACCTGCTTTCTGATAATTCACTGGAGGAGACACTGACTGATATTTCCTCAAATGTGTTTCATTCAAAGCTGTTTCAAGTTAGTCAAGCAAACTCATAAAAATATAAAATAACTAGAAAGTTATGTCACAGAAACATGAAACTGGCTTTAATGTACCTTTTGGAGCCCAAAATCTCTAGGAATATTTTTTTTCTATATCAGTAATAAATGTAATGACTCTGGTATCATTGAAAGATAGAAGATAGAAAACGTAAAGTCAGCTGGTGAAGAAAGAGAATATTTTTAGAAGCTAAAGTCACAGATATGTTTCTCAGTAACAGCTGAAACCACAGAGGAGCTAACTCACCACACGTGGTTTCAAAAAACCAAGATGGTGACGAATGAAATGCTTCACAGCAGTTTCACTATGACAGGACGTCAGCTGGTGGCATCGCTGCGGCTGCATCTATCTTTTACACCATCTATGGTCAGGACACTGGTATATTAAAGCAGCCATGCCACTAAAACCAGCATCCAAATGCATTTATTTTAAAAAAGATTCAGCATCCTATAAGTTGTTAGGAAGCTTGAGATTATCAATTTAAGCCAATTTCTTCTAAGAGGAAGTAAACAGTAAAATAAAATGGAGGAGATTTGTAGCCAGCCTCAAGTGGCCTTTAAAGAAACTGCAATATTTGTCTTTGAAATTTTACTTCATATTTGAGTCTTTGAGGACGCTGCGTGTTGCAGACTCATTAGCCATAAAAACTAGACGTGGTAATTCAGTTTGGTTGTGCTGCTTTTCTGCCACCAAGTGGCCATAAATTCACCAGGGTAATGAAGTCAATATAAACTAATCCTGTACCAATTAAACCTGCGGCTGCACATTGTGGTGAATTCACTTTTTCTTTATCCCGTGTGTGCGTTTCAGAGTATGACGCACTGCACTTTGTTTCTATAGTTACAGTGCGTTTGATGAAGCGGGTGAATTATCTGGACTAAGGGCCAGAGATGATTTTCTCTGTGAGCAAAGCATATGTTTATCGTTCAAGCCTCAGCTCGCTTCAAGCTGGACTTTCACAGATCAAATCGGCGGCACACTGTGTAGCTGTGGCCACTGCAGCTATCGCTTTCTCTTCAATGAGATCCTAAAGAAAACGCAGCGATCACAACAACATCCGCCTCCGGGCAGCCTTGCATTGCCATGACAGCACACATTTATAGTGTGGGTAGCCTCGGAGGGAGTGAAGCCTCTAACCCAAGCAGAGATGCTCTCTTCACTCAGTAGGTGTTAGATAATGTGTCCTGTGCAGCTGTCTGTCCTCTCAGCTTGGAAGATGGAGTCTAACGGAGGAAGCTTCTGTCTCAGAGTAGCGGCTCCATGCTTTTTTTAACTCTGTATCACGAACCCAACAACACACAAAAAACACTGCTGTTGCAAGTTGTAATTAGTTGGTATGTGTAATATATCACGTGTGCATTCCTGTTAAATGGGAATTATAACAGGAAAAAGTCCATAAAGGTATGTAGTTCCCGAGGGTAAAAGCCCAGCCGTTAGCCTCAGGGAGTCCCCAGATCTGTTCAGTCCTAAGTGACTGTCATTAAAAGCTCACCACACTGTCTGGTTCTCTGTAAGCAATGCTTCCTCCTTAATGAAACCTGCCCTACGTTCAAGGTTGTTCTAGAAATGTTAAACGCAATGCCAGCATGACTAAAGACACGTGGATTACAGACTGACTGGCCATTTAAATCCAAAACCAAGCATCAAAATCTCAGAAGCCGATATGTGCAAGTGCCACAAAACTGCAGTTCCTCTAAAGGCCACTTGAGGCAGGCTCCTAAAGAAAGTAACCTGTGTTCAAATGTCCAACGCAGTGTCTGATAACAAAATCAGTTTGGGGCTCTAAGAACAGTTTCAAGTGATCAGTGGGTGAATTTTCTGTTTCTTTCTTGATACTCGCAGGTTTAAAGCTAAAAGAAGTGTGGCGACACAACATCAACGTGCTTTCACTAAAGCTTTAAAGTACAGAAGACACTAAACTGCAAAAACCGAGTATGAATTTTTTCCACAGTTGAGGACAAAACACTAAAGTGTGGATTTAACTCTAAAGACGTGGGCACAAAATTATATCCTACACTTTATCTTACTTCTTCTGCTGAATAATGGAAGGGAAAGCGCCGTAACTCCAGGCTGGTGGGGGCTCCTGCTTTGCTCTACCCACTCAGGCCCCTTAAAGTGAACAGCTGTGGATACCAAATTGGGGTCCTGGGACCTTCACAAACTCTTGAGCACGTTCCCAAGAAATAATTTTATGTCACTCACCGGAGGATGGCATATTCTGAAAATATATATGAGTGGCAGTTCTAATCACAGGCTTCACAGCCCACTCCGCCTACAGCTGAGACAGTTATGCAACTCAAACACTAAAACATTTCTGATAACAAGATGTAATTTCCTGGAGAAAAATCATACTAATGTGGCTAAAAGGAATGAAAAAAAGGAATAAACAACATTAATGCAGAACCAGTGTGAAAAACACTAGTTTGTTGGGTGTTTATAAACTCCGCTTTCAGTAATCGAGTTTTTTATGTGGAAAGTTCAGATGACTCATGGTTACCTACATGTGTGACTAATGATGTGCTGTTCTTTGACGACAGCAATCAAAATCAATTTTTTAAAAGGGCAAAGTTTTGTTTTGATTTTTGCTCGTTTTCTTTTTATTAAAATGATAAATTCAAAGCAAAGAATAATCCGTACAGAGAGTGAGAATCATTTAGAGGGACTGAGTGGGGTCATTTTTGACTCCACTGTGTGTACGGTTCTGATATTTTTAACTATAAAAAGAATTTCTATCATAAATTTGTCCCTTACAATCTGAAGATCTGGAGACAGGACACGACTGGCTGAGGAGGCGGCCAGTTAGGGCATCTCTGCTTAGACTGCCGCCCTTGTGACTCATGTAAGCAGCAAAAAAAGAATCAATGGACGAATGTTTTCTGAAACACTTTACGTTTCTCATTATTAGCATTATTACTAACTAGCATAGCTCAAGATCACGGTTTGATTTCAGAAGGAGACACAAATGGCTTGGGGGCTGCATCAGGAGGGTCTGCCAGCTTAAATGTGTGGAGTTATCCCTGTGAGTAAGGGAGCAGCTGTAAGTAGCCTTATATTTTCTCCACTAACAAAATAACTTCCTATGAAATGGAATCAGAAATGACCTCACTCTGACTTTTCAGTTCCTAAAATAGTCCAAGTCAGTTTCATGAGGGCCCACAGTCGTGAATAAGGGTCACATTAATGGCCACACATACACAGCACATATATTTAATGTCAAATGTATGTCCCAATCAGCTCTCAGTTTACAGGTTCCAGCCTCCATATGTTTGACACCCCTGCTCTAATTGAAGCACTCCTTCTTACAGACTTGTATACCATGCAAGCTATTTCATATGTGCAGAGTTCATCAAACCTGATAAACAACAGCATTACGCAGACTTCCACATGTGGTCCAACTGCAAACAGCTCTTGTCTACCAAAATAACCAAAGCCACTAAAAAAGGTCGTCAGCCCCGAGTGTCATGTTCATTTCAGCTGCTTTATTTATCAGCCACAACAACGGGATGGCTTTAAACAGGACTGTACACTTCTATATGGATCGCCTGATACAAGGCAGCATTCGCCTCAGGTTGGATTTTCAAATTAAAGGGACAGTTCACACCAAAAACAAACCCATGCGTTAACACATTGAAATGCTATTTATCCATCTAGATTGTTGTTGTTCAGATCAAATACAGAAAATCAGCACAACAAGCATTCAAACTCTGTGTTTAAGCTAAAGTATTAGCCTGTATGCCCGTTTAAGTGTGCATGTGCATCGGCGTGTGACTGTGAGTGTATGTAGGACATTAATGTGCTTGTATCTTTGTGTGTTTCTTAATGTTTTGTGTGTGATGCACTCAGTGCTCCAGCTCAGCGTCCCAGGTGCCCCCTTCATTTGAAGAACAGCAGTTTCTTTATTATTAATGTGCTGGCTTGCAGTGCTAGGGTAACAGCCTCTCTGGCTCTGCTCTCCGATAAAACCAGCGCTGCAGTTGCACAAATTAAAGCCCTGGATGTCGTATGAATATTCTGGTCTGTCTGCATGCTGTCTGCTGGAAAAATCACAGGAGGCTTCATTTAATATGAGAAATGAATTCCAAGTTTAAGAACCAGATTTATTGAGCCCAGTTTTCAGTCTTTGCAGGATTTCAGAGGTGAGATGGTGAGGCGAAATGCTCTTTAAAATGCGTACATTTAACTCACCAGTGTAGATGCTAGCATTGGAGGCAGGGATCCCAAACTGAGACTCGATGAATTTAGGGATGAAAGTGATGAAAGCAGTTACGATGGCGCTCTCTGCCGTGTAGGACAGGCTGACAAACAAGAAGGTCACATTGCTGAGGATCCTCACTGCGGCTTTAGGCAGGTCTGGAAGAGGGTGAAGAAAAAAAACATGAACACAAAGTAAAGCTTTTGTTTTTTTTTCTGTCAGCGTCACAACAGTGAAAATAAACCCTTTTGATTTTTGCAAATCCGTTTGTGATTCAGTCTGAACTACAGATGGCTGAGACAGACTGACGAGTTCACTTTAGTTCAACTGTCCTCATAATCTGCACGCTGTCAAAATTTGTACACATTTGCACACACGCTGTTCACTGCACACAGGTTTAGAGTAGCTTTTCTACTCTCAGGAGTACAGAAAATATGACAAGAAACAAACAGAGCTGTACTATCACAGAATAAATAAAACCACTCAACTGGGAAAAAAGTGGCTGTAAATAAATGTGAAATATTTCACACGGGGGTAAGAGAACCATTTAGCCCTTCAAGGGCTGCCTGTAAAAATCCTCACAATCATGAACAACAGCTAAAATTGAAGCCTTCAATACTACTTCCTTGATTTGGCACTTCAAATCAAAACTTTAACCACCCCCTTGGCTAAATGTTCCTAAATCAGTGCTGTGAAGAGGGGCAATGAAACCAACTCCATTTGTGCTTCTTTTTCCAAACTTTGCAGCACTCAGAAGAAAAAAAAAGCTTGCAGTAACACGTAACACGTTCTCTTGACTTTGCTGTCAAAGCTTTTCAGGAGGAGCTGCCTGAGCAACACCGAAGTCTGCTTAAATCATCAAAGATGCTACCGGGATGTAGCAAAAAGTATATTTTTATTTAGTTGCAATCCTGAAGAGATTAAAGCTCCAGCAACAAATGTAGTATGTGGTCATTTCATTGTTTCGGCTTGTGGCTTTCAGAGGGGTCAACACGAAACAAAAACAGGACTTTTGTGGACAACGATCAGCTCTAAACCATCTGTTGTTGCCTCACTTGTTGCTGTGTGTGCTGAGATATATAACTGATGGTTTTATATCTTTCTACTCTGTACCCATCCTATTTTAAAATCCTATTGTAGAAGTTATTCTCTATACTAAACGTGTAGCTATTGCTTTAACCCGGGCGTCTCGAAACTGAAGCTCTTTAGCCCATTCTCAGTGGAACCGCGTGGCTTTGAAAGAAAACTAGATGATCGTGATTAAGGAAATTATTTCATCCTTTATTGTTTTGGATACTGTTGTGTACTGGGGAAAAAGTTGTAATATTTTGCGTGTCATTGCCTCCATGTATCATCCGGTTACTTATTCTCTTAATTTTGCTGACTAGCTACAGATTCCAAGGTTATTTATACTCAATAAGCTGTATCACCTTCATTATAATGCTGAAATATGTTTTGTGGCCCCAAACTGATTTTTAGGGTAACATATTTCTCAGAAACGGCTCTTAATAGTAGAAATCTTCCTGCTTTATTCTCTTCTCTGGTAGCTGCAGTTACACGATAAGCCTCTACTCTGTTATTCAATTAGAGGAGGCTGACTTGGGTTCTGCATTCATTAGACTTGAAAGACCATCTGAGCTCGTCTTTTAAGGTCAATAAATTGAACTAAAGAGTTATATTTAAACAGCCCACACCGTCATAGTTCTGGGAAACACTCCTCTAATAGTTGACATCATCGATTTTCCAGTACCTTTGATGTCCTTGCCAAAGCCCATGGACGAAGTGACCGTCTGGGTCTTGTTGTTGTTGCTCTTCTCCTTGAGGACGTCGTCGTCACTGGACAGATCGTCCAGACTCAGCTTTTTCCTCCTCTTCTTCTTCTTGTGTCGGGGCGGCAGTTTCTTGGGGAAGGTGAACATGGGGAAGATGACCAGCAGCATGGCTATGGCGCACAGCAGGAACCCGCTCCACCTACACAGCCCAGAGATTATTGAAGTAAAATATTAAAAACACATGTTTTTATTCAATTCTGAGTCAGTTTTTACTCCTTTTGCTACCAAAGACTCAACCTCAGACTTGGTATCATCTCATGTGCCTCATTAATATGCACATAAACTGGTACACCATCATCTTCCTGCTATCATCACCTATAATTCATGTAGAAAGCTCGTGGCTGTTAGCTTGTGAGTCACTGATTATGCTGTCAGTCAGAGGAAGGCATCAGTGAGAGCTCTAAATAGATGACTAACCACATCTCACACACAACAACAGATTTTCAGACGGATGATATGTGCGAAAACGTGACCTAAGGACCAAACACGTCTTGGTTTGGAAGGATTCAAACCCGGAGTTTGTTTTCAGATGCGACCGTGTTGGGAGAGGTTTCCTTCTCTTCTCACACATTTAACACAGAGACGAACAGGGACAAAGTGTATTCTACCCCTCCAGACTTTAACAGAGTCCTATTATTTGGTGTTGAGTGAAGTACACTCTGTCTGTTATTACTGCCCCAGTCTATCGTACAGAGCCGCCCAAGTGTGTCCGTCCTGCGACTCATTTAATCACAGATGCGCTCACAGCTACGTTGGTCTCGTTGCATCTCTGCACCCACAGTACGGGGAAGCCGAGAGAACAAGATATTCCCGCAGCACAGCGTGTACCAGGAAGAATGCGACACTGTTAAGAGTCACATACAGCAAATAAATGATCGACTCTGTAATTGGTGGACATAAGTATTAAATTGTAGCATTTCTGTTTCTTTTTTCCTTTTTAACTTAGTTGCATTTTTTCCAAGATCTTTTTAGAAGTGTAACAAGTGAAAGGGTGATAGCAGGTTAATAAGATACATTCATCCAATTGTTGTAGTTTTTATACATAAAAAAGAAAATCATGGTGTTCTGCACAGCAGGAGGTCAGTTTAAGCCAGCTGTAATTCACTAGTAAAAGACCTGAGTTGCTGCTAAGCAGCTAGCCCCAGCTAGTTTAGTTTTGCAATGACCTTTGTCAGATGTACTCCAAGGATCTGCACTATAGCTGCCAGCAGTAGTGCTCAATCTGGTGTGGAAGTGAACTGTAACCAGAACCTGCAGCGGGTGGTTCATGAGCTCTTACGTCATGTTCAGAGGCTGCAGAGCAGGAATGCAGTTGAGAGACCCATTGGAGAAGCAGCTGATTATAATGCACCATTATTTTTTTTTCATTAGAGTGCAAATAAAAAAATCTGCAGAACAGAAAACTATAAACAGAATGAATCATTCATTAATGAAAGCGTGTGAGCCTCTTTTCCTGACATACATTTACACAGAACTCCACCATCATCACCTCAAATAGAACCAAAACTTGTAAATACTGGATCTTTCAAAGTTTTGAGACTTGGAGAGTTAAATCTCTTTAGACTCGTTTCTGATACATGTACCAGAGAGTAAATAATCTGTATTTACTCTCTGGTTTCCATTTTTAGTCGGCGAAGCATTCACCAGCATAATTTGGCTATATTTGGAGAAAAGGAGGAAAGTATTGGTCAAAATGGAACCTCAAAACAATTTAACTTTTTATTAAATTTTTGAAAAATGCATCTAGATCCATAATCCTGCTCGTCTCCGAGGCAGAGCCATTGAATATCACCAAAGGGTTAACTTAGAATCCACCCCAGGTACCAACTAAAGTGTGTTTCTAGCACTTTCACCAAGAAAGAAACTACTGAACTGTACTGTGTTAATGAACTGAAACTTAGGTAATACAGTTTATTTACCACTAACACTCTGAGAAACTGGGGATAAAAACTCGAAGGATACTCTTCAGTGCCCCGTTTGTGAGCTTCAGCACTAAACCCAGTGAACCACACTGAAGACACAAATGGTTAACTTACTGTGTTGGTAATAGTAGTGATACTGACAGAGTGTATTTGCTTTAATGGAAATTTATATAAAAACCCACCAACTTCAACATACACACATATTTTACATTTCGATGGGCAGACTCTTCTCACCAGTTTCCAATGAAGCGGGGATCACTCTGGTCAATGTTGACAACAGTCTTGGGGTCCACGTAAAAGCCGATGAGGACTCCACCCAGCAGGTAGCCAGCTGCTGGGCCCAGCGCTCCCATCACGTACATGATGGCTGAAAAGAGGAGAGAGAAGCAGAGAGCTCGAACTTTAAATGTGTGCAAGTTTTGGCCGAACATCAAAACTACTTTTAGAGTTGAACAACATCCAGCAGACACAAAGCAGCCTCGTCATCTCACTGGAGTCAGTTCAGATAAATCAACTCCAACATCCATGCATCTTTTCTGCTTTGATTTGGTCTCAATCTCTTTTGAAGGCCATCAAAAGCTCCCAGCTTCGACTGTGTGCTGTCTGGTGCTTTGGAAGTTTTTTAATGTGACCAAAACTGAGCTAAAACATGAACTGTGCATGTGTTTGAGAAAATCTGGTTGGATATTTTGTAGTTCCTCTCTCTCACATGTAGCACAAAGCAGGAAGAAGTCATTTAACACAAATTTGCACTATTTTTGTATGTATTAAGTGAGAAAACTGAAGGAGGCAGCACACGACACGACATTAGCTACAACCAGGATCCCAAGACTGATGGGATGGTGGCAGGTTAGGAAACGGCTAAAATCGATTCTTTGTCAGACACTTCCCTTTTCCAGCAGTGCCACTAGACTAGTTTTACTGCAGCACATGTCCCAGAGTTCATCTGCTGCCCCTCAATAAATCCTAAACTTTTTTCAAGTACCTATAATTGACAGAGGAATGATTTAATACTGTGAGTACTATGAATGGATTTCATTTTGTAATGAATGCTGAAAAAGCAACCATCCATCCATAGATTGTATAAAAAGGTGGACATACCACTACATACGCTTTTTTTTAATCTATAAAGAAGGGCCTAAAAATACCATTTAAATGTTTTTTTGTGAAGTTGTCAATTATGTGTGACTAGAACACTGGTTCATCCCTTGTGATAGGAGCCATTTTTATGCTGCAATGACTCATAGGTCAGTGTTAAGGGGCTTAACAAACAAAAAACATTTCACTGAAAATGGACAGGTACGAGGGCTGAACTGAAAAAGAGTGAGCTTTGCATTAGTGGCCACTGCTCTGTCATCATGGCTGAAAGTAAAAACCCGAGGTTGAACTTAAAGCTAATAAATGCTGAACAATAGTGAGGTAGATTATCACAGCTCAGAACGCTGACTACTCCATTAGCATTGAGAACAACCGGTACAATTACAGCAGACTGCATTTTGTTTAGCTTCTGTGTCAAAGTTACACCATTACACTGAACTCAATGACATTTGTCAAACTGCAGGCCTTATGCAACACTAGAACTAATCTAGCCATTTACAAAAGGTCGTGTGTGTGTGTCATGTGTGCAGATCATATGACTGTGCAATCAGGGGGCTGCCGAGGCTGCGAATAAGATTTCTCCAATTAGAGGGAATTAAAATCTTTAATTCCTTGGCTGGAGTTGAAAGCACTTAAGAACTCAAAGCTGGGCCAGGCACTGGAGGAACCTGAAAGTTATCTGAACCAAAGCTGTCCTGGGAGTCCTGGGAAATACTGGGAGCACTGGGTTTCCGTCAGTGATGGCTTAAACTGTTAACTTCACTTTAATTTTTTTTTTTTATTCTATTTTTTTTATTGTTTACTGTTGTTAAGTGAACACGACATATATTTTCTGATCTGTCTTTTACATTTTTGCTAGTATTCAGCAGCAAATGATACAAACTTTGACCAACAAGTATGAGCGCTTAACGTTTACTTGCTTATACTTTGTTATCCGTCCTTTTTTTGTGGATACTGGTTTCATAGAATAATTGAGATGTTTTTGGAACATGTCTGGAAAGCCAAGTGAAAAGGCACTGTTCATGTTTAACTTCAAAACACTAATTTAGTCCTGTGATGATTATTTCAGTTATATTAGTGCTTGTGAACGCGTAACATGGTTTCCACTGTGTTTGTGGCCTAGAAGTGACTCAGTCAATCTAAATACAAACAGTACGCTGCACGGGGCACATGAATGACACTAAAACTGAGATGTTTGTCTCTTAGCACAGTTGTAAATGTTGTGTTCCTGTTCTTTTAACCTTCTTTCAAAGAATCAAAGATGTCCATAATGACACTTTTTGATTTTTTTTTTATTAAGCTGCCAAACTAACACTTAACAGGATGCACTTAACTTTCACTTATGTAGCATGCTTTTACTTCAATGTACTATATGAAGGTTTAAAAGCCTTATTATAAATAGTGCAAATCAAACAACTTGCCACTCTTACAGTGATGTTACGTTTTTGATCATATGCTGAAGTGTGTAGTTGTCGATACTTGTTAATTAATAAATAAATAATTTGATCTTCCTAAATACAGAACACTTCTGCAGTAGCTCTTCACAGGACTGACCAAGTTTAACTTGAAATCGTGAATTTTGTAGCGTTGTTGTGGTTGATTCTTGCAAATATGTGTTGTTTTTTCCCCAGTGTTTGCATAGGTAATTACAACCCACTGTTACTGAGACCCTTAGAGTAATTGCTGAGTAAGGATAGGCTCCAGCACCCCTAATGGCACTAAGATGGATAAGCAATTAAGAGGATGACTCGATAGATGACCGGTGTGCATAACTTTTTCAGTGTTTTTTCCCCTCTCACGCTGCACTGCTGCTCTCTGTCACTGAAGCATTGCTGCTCAGTCACACAACAAACAGGACACAGAGAGAGCTGTTCCTCAGCTGAGTTACAAAGCAGTAGGTCACTACCCAGAGATTTAGTTCTTCTTTTTTGCTAGATCTTTTTGGGAAAAACAAAACTCAATTCAATGGGTTGGAAAAACAGTTAAAAATGTCTTGATAAACCGCCAAGACTAGCTAAAGTGTAATGACTATAGCTGTGCCATATCTTATCGTATGTGATAAACCTGTGAATATTTGTATGTGACATGTGTTATATTGTGATATCATTGCTATAGTAACACCATGTGTTTGCGTTTCATGGCCTCGGCATGTCTGACAGCAAGAGCCAAGAGAGAAGAGCAAATGGGTGGAAATGACTGATGTGTTACATGGAAGAAAAGCAGGACTTATACAGCACACCAGCAAGAAAATATAAGTAAACTTTTAATATGACCATATTGCTCGGTTCTTGATGAGTTACAAAGTTATGTTACTTTGCTTATTATAAAAGAAACATGTTAAGCTGTTATTTTATACGTCTCCTTAAAATTTCCAGGGAAAACACCACCTGTACTTCCATTTGAATCGCGCTGTGTTACAATGCTGCTGCTGGCACCCTGTTTCAGTAAACTCGCAATTTAATTTCGGTAGTGTGTCATCACTGACAGCAGCTCGTTGAAAAATGCCCCTCATTACTGAAACTTGTTCAGTATTTTTTTCTATATCGTCATAAATATTAGTATCGCAAATTTTCTTGAACTATAATGACAACATTTGGATATGGTATTAATTATTATTTTTAAAAACACTTTATTCAACAGAAACATTTTCAATAATAAAAACTGACTGTTGATAATCCAGATTTATGTGTAATTTTTTAAAGTCTCATTCCCATAGCCAATAATTCACATGATGTATCTGATCTTCTCAGAGGCTTTCAGCTCACCCGTTATAAATACAGCAGTATGCTGCTCATCTATACTATGTTGATTTTCTGACAAGGTTAATAGTTACTTCAAATAAAAATAACAGTATAATAATTCCCTCAGCTAAAACTGATCAATATGTACCTGCCTGCCTGATTTCTCAAAAAACCCCAAACACTCAACAAAATGAAAAGATTCAGCACACATTCCTCATTTAGGGAGCGTTTCCCAATCAAATCAACACATTCCAGAAATGCCGGCAGCAACGTGAGCACTGCAGTTACTCATCTGCAGAGCATCTTGACAGAGCATCTTGACAGACAGAGTCTGTCTCTCCACGCCATCCTTCCACTCGATTATTACATCATCTGACTAAGAGAGCCAGACTCTGGGATGATAAAACAGAGTGATGGGATTGAGGGCTCAGGCCTTCCGAAGGGAGCCGCGGATAATCCCTTACAAAGCAAAAGAAGAGGGAAAACCCTCGGCTGGCAGGTTGCCGTGTTACACAACATGATGCAGTAACGTGACTGTCTTCAGAGGGATAAGAGACGAGCACGCCGCCGGTCATAGGTCAGGCAAACGGGCCCAGCTGAGATATGAGGAGCAAGAAAGAAAGTGAGAAAAATAAAATAAAAAAACTGAAAAGAAGATGATGAATCATACAAAGAAAGACAGACTGTGACAGCGCAGATGTGAGACCTTCATTAAAAATTTATGATAAAGTAGTCAGGGACCAGAAGGATGATGGCTTTTCTTCGCTGCTCTTTATTTCCAACGTAGACTGGAAGTCAAATCTTAATACATAACCATTAAGCAACAAAAACTTTTCTAAAAGCCTCTCAATCATGTGTTCTAGTGATATTAAGAATTTTGCTAGATTAACCACTTTTATAAACAAAAGAAACGCTTTGAAGAGAAGATTAAGATGCCTCTGAAAGCCCATAGGAAAATTCATTCTCTCCATTTAAGCCATCCGAAATATTAGGAGAAGTATGCAGCAAATACAGCTAACTCCAGCTATAAACCAGTGCAATGAAAGGAGAATTAATGTTTCAGTGATGGAAGAAACCAGAGCACCTAGAGGAGTGCGCAGAAGAGCCCTGCCCTGGTATGAACCCAGGACACTGCACCTCACGGAGGTGGAGCATAAGTGAAAGGAATTATGTCTGTGCTTGTTTGTCCGTCAGCAGTATTACAATTTTTTTAAAATAAGGTGGAGCACAGGAAAAAAGCCATTAAAAATATGGAGCTGGAAATTAGCATTATAGGTCCACCTTAAATTTTGGTGTGGATCTGGATTGCGGTCTTTAAAATTGCAAGATAAGTCTAGAATCTTGGCGAAGGTCTCTGTGAGTCCTTCCAGTTAATTAAGCAACAGCAATGTGCTTTATTTGTTAAAAGTGGTTTATAAGCAGGTTGCAAATGCTCAAAGGAGCCAGTGTGCACTTTTTTCAGTGGTTAAAGAAATAGGTCAAAAACAAAAAATCCAACAGATGAATGTGTAAGCCACACAAACCATGC